AAAAAAAAAAAAAAAAAAAAAAAAAGTCCTTCCCAAAGGATGGCTATAATAATAAAAAAAATAACCCACAAAAAATGGAAAATAACAAGCGTGCGGATGTTATGGGAAGGACTTTGGTGGGAATGTAAAATGGGGCAGCCACTGTAGAAAACAGTTTGGCAGTTCCTCACAAAGTTAAACACAGAAATACCATATGACCCAGCAATTCCATTCCCCAAAGAACTGAAAATAGGAATTCCAACAGATACTGGACAACCACATTCACAGCAGTATTACTCACAATAGCAAAAATATGGCAGCAACCCAAGGGTCCACTGATGGATGCCTGAATAAGCAAAAGGGAGTTTGTCCACGCAATGAACTATCACTCAGCCCTAAAAAATAAAATTCTGACACACACTACAGCAGGGATAAACCTTAAAAACACTACACCAAGCACACTAAGCCAGACAGAAAAGGACAAATACCATATAATTCTACTTATATGAGGTCCCTGGAGAAGTCAAATTCATAGAGACAGAAAGTAGAAGGGTAGGTGCCAGGGGCTGGAGGAGGGAAGTGGGGAATTGTTCAGTGGGGACAGAGCTTCTGCATGGGATGATGAGTTAAGTCTGGGGTAGAGACAGCGGTGATGGTTACACAATATTGCAAATGTATTTACCAACACCACTTACAAATGCTTAAAATGATGGATAGCCTATTATGCATATTTTATCACAATTAAAGAGAACAGAAGTCCTTCCTGTCCCTGGGCCCCAGGACAGTCTCCTGCGTTTTGCTCCATGACCGGTTTCCTCTCTCACACTCAGGAGCTCAGGATCCCTGGGGTCCACCTCTGCTTGGCACCCTGGCCGCTCACCTTCCCGGGGGGTCTGTGGCTGAGAGCCCGGGGCCCGCGGCCTGGAGCACACACAGCCGGGCCCCGTCTCTCCCAGCGCACGGGTGGCTCCGTTCAGCTTCCTCCTCTGTAATCTGGGGTGAAGATGGTACCTGCCTCACGGGGTCATGACGAGAACAACGGGTAGCGTGTGAGCACGACGGTGCTGGTCCCACAGCCCAGGCCACGCCTGTGCTGGGGTCCCTTTGCTGCCTAGTATGTGGAGTAGGCTTCACTGCATGATAGGAGTCAAGGGCTTGTCCCTCAGCTTTCTCTCTGCTCTGATGCTTGGCTGTGCCCGGTCCGATACAGACCCCTATGACCGCAGTGGCCCCGAACCGCCCTGAGACGCTGGAAGGGCCGAGCGCTGGCACACAGGACGCAGAGCTGCCCGGGCAAGCGGGAGTCTGGGGGCCACAGTGTGAAGAGGGAAGCAGGGGAGCCTCCCGAGGGCTGTGTTCCCGGGGGAGTGGGGGCCGGGGACCCGGGGAAGTCTCCATGAGTGCCACCCTCAGGGGCCCCGGAAGGGCAGCAGCTCCTCCGCTGGGGACGCAGCCATGACCGCGTTCACCCCCCTGGAGGGAGGCGAGACACCCGGGTGTGTGCTGGGGTTGCTGGGCAAGACCCGAGGAGAGGTCGGTGTCTCTGGGTGGCTTTTTTTGGTGTCGTTTTAAGAAGTTTTGATATGCTTCTTAACTAAAACACATTTCATCTATTCATTCTTTAAAAAACTAGTTTCTGGTATAGGTAAAAATAAGAGGGTCTGTTATTGAACACGACTGCAGCTACACCAGAGAGGTTTTATGGCGGCATCTGTGCGGCTCCATCAGGACACGTTCCCAACACAAGGTCATCCCTTGGTAGTTCTTGCCGTGGACACCCCAGCACGTCCGCCACTTAGGAGAATGAACAAAGGGGGAAGAAGCAGACAATTCCCAGGCAGACGGTACAAGGAATCTCTCCATTTCCTGTCTATTCCGAGTTACAGGTTCCAGTGGCTCTGCCAGGGAGAACAGCAGAGAAAGGGTTTCAGGAGAGTCAACGGAAGCAAAAGCTGAAACCCATTCATTCAATAAAAGACGCAGAGGATGCCAGCTAAGGACGCTGAAGGAAGAAAGGGATCCCACGTAAGCAGTGGGATCCGAAAGACGTCTCTCCAAGCACGTGCGCAGGCTGAGAAGGAGACCTTGGGTGGGACAGGGCCACAGGAAGGAAGGGGGGATGCATCAGTGACAGGGGGCCTGGGGCCGCCCCTCCCAGCCCTGGCTGACAAGGCGCCTCCCTGAGCAGCTGCTGTGCGGACCCATGGGCTCCTCACGGTGGGGACCTCATCCGACGCATCTCAGGCTCCTGCGTCCTTTGCCTCAGAGAGCGGATCCGGCTGAGAAGGGCCCGCGGGAGACAGTCTTCTGTCACCCCCACGTACTGCCACCCCGCAGGCACGTCCTCCTCTGGGGAGAAGCCCTGGCCCACTCCCACCCCCGTGACGTGATCTGGTGAAGCAGGTGGCAGCGGACTGGAACACTGTGTTCCTACCCCCGTCTTGCCATCTCCTTGCAAAGCTCACTCTTTGACTTTGGTTAAGAAAATCTAAAAATCCTCTAAATGGGATTGACGTTATTATCATTGAGTTCAGACCTCTTTGGAATGAGGAACACTGCTTAGTGTTACTTACATATCTGAAGGTAGTACTTGTAATGGAAAGCAAAGGCCATAATAAGCCTGGTGACAAAATTAGAAAAAGATGCTTACATTCAAATTTCCAAGGGGCTGTCCAGTTATAGGGGTAAAATAAATATGTATTTCTTCCCTACATTTTACACAATAAATCCAAGATCGATTAAAGAGGTAAGTGTTAAAAAAAAAACAAGCTGTAA